GTCCACTGACTGTGATCGTCGTCCTGATTGCGACGTTAAACAATTCCTGAGCGACCCTGGGCGCAATCCTTAAATAGGCCTCTTGACCAGCCAGATCAGTCGGACGTACGGCTCGTTGCACGCGAGGATAAAGAAAGGGCAAGCGTGGTCATAAGCATGCACCTGGGGCACAGGGGTGGGCCGACATTGCACACCTATGACACTGCTGCTCAATGATGCTCATCGGTATGTTGGATTGAGGGGAGGGTAGGTTCCAATTGGTGCTCATCTGTAAACACAACCATATCCACTGTTCCACTGTTCATGCATCTGCAACATAATTTAGTTTTATTGTTGATTAGTTGGTTGACAGACTGCTAACACATCACAGACAACTTAGTTTAGGACTGTTGTATACTACCATAGCTAGTTCTATGCAAACTTTTGTAAGTGAACTAATCGAGATATAACTAAATTATGTTTACGGTCTTTGTGAATATTGTAGGCTGCCACTTGATCGGTTGAGTAGGGGACCAGCCGGACACATTTATTTTTAGAAGAKTAGGTGCCGGTCAGACACATGTTGTGGTAGGACTCCAACAGGGAGTTGTAGTACAGATAGTGTTTGCCTAGTTGATGAGTGGGTCAGACACCGATGAGGGTAGAGTTGACGATGCGAGGCTGACACGTTCGAGATCACTTAGGGTCCCAGACGTGTTTCAAGCTCTACGGTCGGGGGACGAAAGACGGCTTCGTGTCGAAGTTAGAGCCCGTGCTTACGCAGCAGCGAGGGAAACAGGACTAGCTGCAAGTCAGGCGTCGGCAGCAGCAAACRCTGCAGCTAGGGAACGGGCAACAGCAGCCAGTGCAACAGCAATGGCTACTGCCACAGCCTCCTCTGCTGCATCCTCGTCTGGGACCCTGTTGGGAATGCCCTCTGGGCCCACGGGTAGTTCCGAATCAGTAGGTTCTAGTCAGTCCACAAGTCAAATGGCGGGSTCGCAGTTCAGTCCGTTGACCCCTCGCGGCAGGGAGCTACTAGAGCTCCAACAAGTCGAAAGGATCCGCACTCGGCTAGAGAGGGAACAAAAGCAAGCTACCGATAGAGAAAAAGAGATAAAAAATAGAACAATTAGGCTTGATACAAAAGTGTTAAAGTGCAGCATACTGTCATTGCATGCGCATGTGGACAGTAGGTTGGATTTCATGCAAAACTCCTTGGACCAAATCTTGGATCTTTTGCAAAGGCCAGGATTACGGCCAGCAGCACAGTCGCCGTTGTCGTTAACGGCGATGTCAGGCCCCTTTCAAATACAAGTTGCCACACAGCCAAGTGGTACGTCTGCAGCAGCCACACAGACCGTTGCTTCTTCTTCTCCAGCGGTGATAGCTACACAATCACCGCAACAAACTTTTCCACCACAGGGACAGCAGCAAGGTCAATGGTACCCAAAGGCCCCAATGAAACCGCCCCTTGCCTTCTCCRGTGAGAAGAAGGACGAGGAACTCAACACTTGGTTGAGAACAGTTCCAATGTGGGTCGAGGACGTTGCAGGAGGAGGAGGTGATTACTGCTGCATCTTACCTTGAGGGTAAGGCAACCAAATGGCTGGATGGGATAGTAGCGAAGGCTGGGTTCGGACGACGCATGGCAGACTGGGGTAAGACCCTTACTTTAAAAGAGTTCTTGGACATGGTAGAAGCTCGCTGGCATAATCCACAACAGGCACAAATTGCCACTGATGCGATGCTCAGCCTAGACCAGCAAAAGTACAAGTCTGTCAGAGAGCCGACGTCTACCGTAGAAAACCTCATCGTCGTTCCCGGTATACGCTATGGTGACCAGGTCTTAATGACCATGTTTCTGAGATGTCTGCCCGAGAATCTCAGGACCTTACTGGCCAGCGAGGCTCGCCTCGAGTATCATTYCTTTGAGACCTTCTCTAGAAAGGCCTTAGATTTGGAGGCTACTCTAGGAAGTGCTCAACCTACTCCAGTAGACGGGAGGAAGAAGAAGAGTCCATAGGAGTGGAAAAAGAAGGGTAGTAGATTGATGATGGTTGAGTCCGATGGGACTCAAACTGAAATCGAAGAACTTACCGACCTGATGGACGGTCCAGAGTACGATGGCGAGGAAGTCGCTGAGGGTAGCACCCTCGCCGCAGTAGTAAAGACTAAGGCAGGTGGCCGAGGTAAGGGCCATCAAAAGAGTCAAGGGCAGACCGCCTCCAATCAGTCCAAAGTAGCAGATTGGGTTAAGGCAGGTCTTAATCAGGAAGTGTGGCGGGACCACCGAGTGCGTGGTGCTTGCATCGACTGTGGTTAATACGGACACACCCAGTACAAGTGTAAGAACGCAAAGGTCACGCAGAAGATACCCCCTAAGGGAGGGGTACCTTCTTCCCTGGCTTCCAACTCGGGAAMCATTTGAGGCCGGTGGAAGTTTTRGCTGCTTCTCCTCATGGTGAAGTGGGCCASATACCCTCTYGACTTCATGAGATGGCCATAGCTAATGACTCTGTAGTCACCCTGCAGACTCATCTAKACCAAACTATGCTCTGTACGTTGGATGTGTCCGAGGTCTTAGAAGATTTAGAAAGTGAGTGGTCAAGCAAGGACCCTCGYGAATCTTGGGTGGCACTAAGTAGACGTCCTAGAGGGGAACATTTCGTCGTGGAAGTTGYTGTAGGAGGCCGCAAATGTGGAGCCTTCGTAGACATCGGTTCCACGCGGAATTACATAAGTCGCGAATGTTTGGAAAGGCTGCACCTAGAGGACCGGTTACAGCACCTTAGTAGACCGGTAGCATCTACCTTGGCCAATAAGGAGCGCATGGTTGTCACAGACTATGTCAAGGATGTAGTCTGTACCTTCTCCTTTGGAGGAGGCTTCTCCTATGGAGGAGGGGAACTTAATCACAAGATTTCGTTCCTGGTTAGCGGCGATTTACCATTTGATATGCTGTTAGGAATGTACTACCTTGAGGTTCCCAAGCCCCAGTTTGACTGAGACAAGAAGGTGCTCAAGCATGAGTTGCTTGATGGGAGGACCGTGAGACTGGCCAAGTACAAGGCTAGCAGGTTGTTGGACTCCTACGGATGCTTGTGTGCATCAGCGTTCTACAACTACTATAAACAGAACCAAGAGGAGGATATATACCTAGTGTATGTCTCTGAGAAWGGGGAGGCCGTTAAAACACCCCCAGAGATAGAACACGTCRTTGCTAAGTTCCCTGATCTGTTTAATGAGCCCACAGGAGTCGTAGATAGGGAGATTGTCCACGCCATAGAAATAATTCCAGGGAGTAAAACCCCAAAGGGAAGGATCTATAGGATGGCTCTGGCCGAATTGGATAAACTCCGGCGACAATTGAAAGAGCTGACAGAAAAGGGTTGGATACGGCTGATTACTTCATCCTTCGGATCTCCAGTGATGTTTGTACCGAAGAAGGGGGGATCGTTGAGGATGTGCATTGATTACAGAGGCCTCAATGCCATCACAGTGAAGAACGCAGAGCCTCTACCTCGTATAGACAACCTATTGGATAGGTTGCAGGGATGTAAGTACTACAACAAGATAGACTTAAAGTCCGACTACCWTCAGATTGCCAGAAGACCTGAGGATGAGCACAAAACCGCATTTCATACCAGATACGGTCTATGTGAGTTTGTGGCGATGCCCTTTGGCCTTTGCAATGCGCCGGGTACATTCCAACACGCCATGAATAAGATCTTCCATGACTACTAAGATAAGTTTGTCRTTGTGTACCTTGACGATATTCTTATCTTTAGTAAGTCTGTCGAGGAGCATGCACAACATTTAGAAACTGTACTCTCACTCCTGCGACAACACAAGTATAAGGTCAACCTAGAGAAATGTGAGTTTGGGCGCACTAGGATCTTGTACTTGGGTCATGGGGTATYCGCGGAAGGGATTAGGMCGGAAGATGCGAAGGTGGCTACTATTAGGGACTGGCCACGACCTCAGACTGTTACTGAGGTCAGATCTTTCTTAGGGATGTGCGGCTACTATAGGAACTTTGTGAAAAACTATTCCACGGTCGCCTCTCCTTTGACTGATCTAACTCGACTTGATACGCCGTGGGACTGGAGTGATTAGTGCGAGCCTGCTTTCAAACGATTGAAGCAAGCACTCATGAATCATGAGGTTCTCATGGTGCCCGATCCTCAGAAGCCTTTCAYAGTGACCACTGACGCAAGCCAATACGGCATTGGCGCAGTGCTGGCTCAACATGATGGGAAAAAGTTGAGACCGATTGAGTACATGAGCAAGAAAATGCCATCAAAGAAACTGGCAAAGTCCACCTACGAAAGGGAACTATACGCCCTTTACAAGGCACTTGTCCATTGGAGACACTTTCTGTTGGGACGGTTTTTCTATTTGAGAAYTGACCATCCGACCCTTAAATGGATCAGGACTCAACCTGCTCTTTCTGATGCACTCAAGCGCTGGATTGAGGTCATAGATTAGTATGACTTCAAGCTAGAGTATCTGAAGGGAGAGTACAGCAAAGTTGCAGATGCGCTGTCACGTTGGGCAGACTACCTAGGGGCGCTAGTTTCTGAGTTTGGCGTATCTGAGGAAGTAACTCAATTGCTGGTGGGAGCCTATCAGGAAGACCCTGTCACGATGGACATCATACACAAACTGCAGGCGAAAGATAAGGCCACAGAAGATGAGTTTGTGATGGTGGATGGGTTACTCTTTCCGAGAAAGGTTRGGATTGAAAGATTAGTTGTTCCATCTAGTCAGAATTTGCGTAGTTTATTTCTAGGAAAATGTCATGACGCAACTGGACATTTTGGCTACAAAAAGACCAGTGCCAATCTAGTACAACGATTTTGGTGGCCCGGAATGCTAGATGATGCAAGGAAATATGTGGAGACCTATCAGGTCTGTCAGCGGGACAAGCCGCGAACTCAAGCACCGCTTGGGTTGCTGAAGCCCTTACCTATCCCCGCTGGTCCGGGACAGAGTGTTTCCGTGGACTTCATGGACACCCTGGTAACCAGTAGGAGTGGCAAGAGGCACATCTTTGTCATCGTAGACCGATTCACCAAGTATGCTAGACTAATTGCCATGCCAGAGACGACGTGGACTGAACACGTCATCAAGTTGTTTATGGACAATGGGGTGCGTCATTTTGGACTGCCAAAGCCAATCGTCAGTGATAGGGATGTCCGCTTTACAAGTGAGTTGTGGAAGAAGACTGCTGAGAAATTGGGCAGTCAACTTCAGATGACCTTCGGGAATCATCCCGAAGCCAACGGACATGCCGAGCAGATGAACAGAGTTGTACAACACCTGCAGAGGCATTACATCAAGCCTAGCCAGGATGACTGGGGTGAGAAACTGCCTCTCATCGCCAGCCTGTACAACAACGCTGTACACAGCAGTACCGGCGTCAGTCCTGACCAGCTACACTTGGGATGGAAGCCTAGTTCAGTGCTGGACTTCCTTTCGTCTGAAAACCGACCCTCTGCAACTCCGGGCACACTAGAATATGGTGTGCGGTATGAGAAGTTGCTACAACAAGCTGTCGAGCACATTAGGAAATCTCAGAAAGCAATGATTGCTTCTGAGAACAAACATCATCGCCWGTCCACATTTCAGGTAGGGGAACGTGTCTGGGTCAAGGCTAGTGAGCTAGGAYAGGAATTCGGTATCCCTCGAAAACTAATGCCTCAGTATTTTGGTCCCTGGAAGTCTTGGACATAGTTGGGGATGATTTGGATGGTCCTTCCTATGTTATCCGTATCCCTGGTCACCTGCGCACTCACCCTGTGTTTCATGCTTCAAAGCTTGCACCTTTCGCTGAGACAGATCAATTTCCTTCAAGGAGATCAATGCTGCCCCCAACCATGGATGGCCACTTGGACATCGACGATATTCAGGAACAAAGAGACGTGCCTGTTTCCAGACCTCTTGGTAGAGGAAGACCGCCAAAACCCAAGAGAGAATATAGAGTCAGATTCAGGCATCACACAGATCCGAAAGAAGATCGATGGTTCACGAGAGAGGAACTGATTGAAACAACACCTCAGGTGGTAGCTGAATATGAAAGACAGCTAAAGGGGAATGCACCTGCGAAGTAAGCATTTCAACGGACTTTCGGAGCTAAGGGGAATGGAATGTGAGGATTGAGCCCTCAACGGGGCCTTGCCGACATGCATATGTTCTGGGCATAGGCCCCCAGCAAGCCTCGTGCCCGCCCTAAGTGAAGGCGGGCCAGATTATCCACGGGAGACCTTCATTCAACATTTCACAAAGTGGGTATCAGATAGTTGCCGCACGCCAGTTGGTTGGAGTGCATCGTGAGCGTCAGACTCCTGCAAAGGCAGTTGAGCCCAGGGCCTCGTTTGGCTGAGCCCTAGGCGACAGTCTGGGAGGCCAACACATCACACATTGGTCCCTGGCCTTGGAAAAGCAGTATTTCGTCGCGGAGGCCGAGGAAGCCAATGGGAAACCAATACGGGGTCTGAATCTGGACAACAACCCTAGCATAAGGGGCGCAACTGTATTACCTGGGCCCCATTTGCATTGGGTTTGGGTATAGGTACTGGGGCCCAGGCGCAGGCTCAAGGAAGACCGCCCACACGCAACACTGGCATATAGGAAGAGCGGGCGAGTGGGCAGGGAGCTTGGCCATTGCGAGCAAGGCCGACACGTTGTTGCATTGCGAGTGTGCTGTGCTGCACTAGGCTGAGAGAAGGTAGCTTGCGCTAAGCGGTAGGGCACAGTCTGGGCGCAGGGCGCTGGCAGCCATAGCCAGGCTGCATGAGAGCGCTGGAGGAGGTGAGGGCGAAGGTGGTTCTTCGGGAAGTGAAGGGCGTTGTGTGGGATAACAAGGGAGAGTGAGGGACAAGAGTGAGTGACGTACCTGGTGGAAGAGGAGGTCGGCATTGGTGTTGACGTCATCACTAGTTGGTCGTCAAGTCGTCTGGTTGCTTCCGTGAATGTAGTTGTAGGATAGGCAGTAGAGTAGATAGGGCGCCTGGCGCCATTCAAGAAAGAGGGCTACTTCGGGTTATGTTGTTGGTGTTGCCTGATTGGGCTTGGACATTGACTCATGACTTTTGCTGTATCGTTCTCAAATGGATGGTTGCTTGGTTCCAATGTGTTATCCGCTCTTGCTTTGACTACTTGGACTTCGGTGTGATTTGCAATTGGGATTTCTGTGCTTCGTCCACATTCATGTTCCTTGGACGGGGCCTGAAGCATCGTCTATATATGGCTTCAGACCCCCCTCCATCTCACGATTGCTTGTGTGTTGTGTGATGTTTGGGTGAGTTCAGTCTATGCGAGTCAGTCCATTTCTTAGACTTCGGCTGTATACATGCTCATCCTATATTGGTTGATCTTTGGTTTTACCCGTACTTGGTGAAGGATTCACTAGAATGCAACAGTTTGGTATCGAAGCAGACCAATTAAGTGGATCTGCTCACAGGATAATTCCGATTAGGGAATCGATTGCTTGATTAGCGTTGTCTTTTTCCGAATTAGTTTTGTATTGCTATCGAAGATTCAAGTTGAAAAATTCTATTTTTAATTCGGTATTCTGTTTTAATTCGGTTTCTGTTTTAATTCGGTATCGAATTAGGGTTGCGATAAAAGCATTTCGGTTTTCCGCATTAGGAAAATTTCGCGTTGTCTGGAACCATAAACCGAAAATTCCACGAAATCGTGGAAAATTAGGGTTGATGTCCGAAATTTTCGCAAAATGTGTTTCCCCTAATTGTTGAAATTCTGAATGCGGACTTCGGCCTTATGAAAAACGGACTATTTTAGGCTGAAATTCCCGAAATTTCACGTTTTTTCAAAAATTCGAGTGTTTTTCCGTTTCCTATTTTTCCGAATTATTTTTTTTTCAGTTCGCAGACTGTCCGAAATCATTTACCCCAGAACTACAACTTCCGGGAAGTTCACTTACAACGGTGAACTCCCGGACCATAGGTGATCTCAACGGACACCTGATCTACCGACAATTTAAATTTCGTATTTTAAATCATTCTTTATTCTTATTCTTTATTATTTATTTATTATCTTCGAAATTAAATTGTTCACGAGGGGAAAGGATAATCTTTTTCTTTCAATTAGGAGTCCAGTCCACATTGGGACAAGGGACTGCATGTTGATTGTTTGTTCTATTCTACCCCTGTTCCCACCCTCCCTGCCCTCCCCGTGCCTGTGAACACCGAGAGTTCCAAGTACCATGTCAACAGTGCTGATGTCGACGAAACAGGACACCGGGGGAACAGGACACCGGGGCACTGCCACGACGCAGTGCCAGGATCGCATTTTGTAGCCACACTATGATACCTCCATGGCCTAAGTATCAGCAACAACGACGCAGCAGGCGAACGGCTCCAGCGACATCCAGTACCAACGCAGCAACTGCAGTACCGATTACCACAGGGGTCCTTCCCGCCTGTCCGGTCCAAGGGGACCACGAGACAGCGGGTGCAGACATTTACAGATGCCGTAGCCGCAGCAAAGGCACAGTAAGAGGCAGCAGAAGCAAAACGTCAGCGACTTGCGCAAGAGGCGGCGGCCCAAGCTCAGTGGACTGTTGAGGCTGACGCAACGGCTCGAGACAAGTGGAACTCCGCCAACACGGAATCCTTGATTCAGAATGAGAATCAGTGGACAACACTACTCCAAGGCATGATCTTTGTGCCTACGGACGAGCAGGCGGATCTGACACCGACGGAGGAAGAAAGGAGTAACCTGGCTAACTTGATGTTGTGTATGATGAAGACGGTAATGTGGAACAACACGATGCAGACAGTGCACGCACACACTGGACGGAAGCTCAGACAGACTCATGAGAGAGAGTCTTCAACATTGACAGCCGCCATCCGCGCAGCAGCACAACATCAGCAACAACAGCAACAGTTGTTGGCATCCACTATCACACGCGTCAACAACATTGAGGTTAAGCCCTCAGCAGTGCCAGGCTGCACGACAAACATAGCGAAGCAGCCCGGAGAGCGCATTGACCATGTCGTCAACATCATCGGCGACCTGGGTGACTTTACTAGTCCTGCCACGATCAGCAACACGGCCGCCATCAAGACGGACATCACCAAACTGCAGACACGATCGGAAATAGCTGCTAAGACATTCAAGATGCCACACTTCAACATCGCCAAGTTCGACGACTACAACAAAACGGATGCGTTAGCATGGTGGCAAGCCTTCGTCACCGAAGCTGCCTGCCACCACGTACCAGATGACCTGATGATGACAACACTCTACCTCCAACTCATTGGAGGAGCACAGGCATTCATGAACCACAAGGCGGCCAATCTGGGAACCACCATCGTCGACCTGCACAAGCACATCACGTGGGAGCAGCTCGAGCAAATGTGGCACACTCGATTCATGGTCCGAAACGTAGTGAATGTGGCCATGAACGAGGTCTACTCCAACTCGCAAGGGAACATGTCAACACGAGACTGGACGATCAAGTGGCAGAAGGACCTCGACCCGCTCACGAGAGAGGACTTCTCTTGGATGCCTCTACCCTCGACCGGATCCTTGCCAAAACCGCATTGTAACGCCTTGATGGCAGATCTACGCTCCTACTTGCATGTTGCAATACCAGCTCCGTTGACGGACGACGGAGTAGTGATTGTCGATCTCCGCTCCTATCTTGAGAAGATTGACCGTGAGTACGCCACCCAAAGGTACGTTGAGGCCGACGCTCCTTTGCTATATATCTGCATTCAAATCGGAAAGGCCACCTGCAATGCCTTGATTGATTGCGGAGCGTCTCACAACTCTATGAGCCAAGCCTTTATGGCCCGCGCGGGCCTCGGCCCCCTCGTTCGAAGGAAGACGCAACCTACGCAAGTCACACTTGCAGACGGCCGCACATAAAAGTCAATTGACCGATGCGTTGACGACGTTCCGGTGTATTTTGTGCCCCTTGCGTGCGAGCCGGTGTCTTTCGACATCCTCGATACCAAGTTCGACATGATTCTAGGCATGTCTTGGTTGCATAACGCCGATCATCTGGTAAACTTTCATGACCGAACCGTTCACATCCGTGATAGGAACGGAGTGTTAGTCCCGAGTACGGTCGCGACTCCTCACACTTCGATTGCTTGTCACATGGTTTCTGTTGCGAGGATTCGCGACGCCATAACTCGGAATGACGTAGAGGAGATGGGAGTTGTTTTCCTACATGCCCTCCCCTTGACAGATGGACCAACTGCGTTGCCATCGGACCCACGCATTACTCACCTCTTAGATGGATATGGAGACGTCTTCGAGGCTCCCACCGGAACGGTTCCAGATCAGCCCATACGTCAAGGGATTACTCTCGAGGCAGGTGTCGTCCCTCCACGTGGATGCATTTACCGCATGAGCGAAGAGGAACTCGAGGTGCTTCGCGTACAACTCCACAACCGTCTCAACAAAGGCTGGATTCGCCTTAGTTGTTCGCCATACGGTGCACCGGTTCTCTTCGTCTGGAAGAAGAACAAGGACCTACGGTTGTGCATTGACTATAGAAAACTTAACGCACAAACCGTAAAGAACGTCGGCCCTCTCCCTCGGATTCATCATCTCCTTGAGCGGTTGGGCGGCACGACGTACTTCTCGAAGTTGGACTTGAAGTCGGGTTACCACCAGATCGAAATCCAGCCTCAAGACCATTACAAGACCGCCTTCAAAACGCGGTATGGGCATTTCGAGTGGGTCATGATGCCATTTGGACTCACCAAGCCCCGACAACCTTCCAAGCAGCCATGACAACGGAATTCCGAGACTTGCTCGATCGTACCATCCTCATTTGCCCCGATGATATCTTGGTCTATAGTCAGACGCTTGACGAGCACCTCGTACACCTTCGTGCGGTTTTGGATCGTTTGCGAGCAGCTGAGTACAAAGCAAGCCGTGACAAGTGTGAATTCGGCAAACAGGAGCTTACTTAGGCCATTATGTAATGCCAAAAGGCATTCGTCCCTTAGCGGACAAGATCCAAGCCATCATGGATTGGTCAAAACCCCGTTGCACTACGGACGTACGCTCATTCATGAGTTTGGCTGGATAGCGGTTCGTCGAGTCTTACTCCAAAGTGGCTGCCCCTTTGTCGAGACTTCAGTCCCCGAAGGTACCATTTGAGTTCGACATCGCAACTCATGCCGCGTTCAATACGTTGAAGGCGGCAATGCAAGACGCACCGGCCCTCCGTATTTATGACCCCACCCTACCCACCCAAGTGACTACGGACGCTTTCGGATACGGTATTGGTGCGGTATTAGAACAATGCCACCCGGACGGTTGGCACCCGGTCGATTACTTCTCCCAAAAGGTGCCCCTCGTCAACTCTCTCGACGACGCTAGGAAGAAAGAGTTACGCGCGTTCATCACCGTTCTCAAACGGTGGTGCCACTTTCTTTTCGGTCGTCGGCGTTTTAAATGGAACACGGACAACAATCCATTGACCTACTACAAAACGCAGGACACGGTCACCAGCATGATCGGTCGATGGATGTATTACATCAACCAGTTTGACTTTGACCCATGCCACATCCCCGGTCCCGCCAACCGAGCAGCAAACGCCCTCTCATGACAACCCGATTTTTGTGCCCTAGTGACTACGACGTTCCAGCTCGACGACGATCTGCAGCAGCACTTCGTCAACGACTACAAGTCCGAACCGACGTACTCCACGATCTACATGGAGCTTTCGTCGGGTCACCCGCCGGCTGGTCACTATCGTATCTCCGATGGGGTCCTACTCCTCCACACGAGAGGAAATAACGTGTTAGTGGTGCCCCAAGATCGCATCTTAAGAAATCGCCTCCTTGGTGAATTCCACGACGCACGACTTTCGGCACACCTTGGCGTGACCCGCACATTGGCCCGCCTCCGCCAGCGTTTTCACTGGTCCGACGTTCTCCACAACGTCACGAGGTGCATTGAGTCATGCACAGTTTGCCATCGTAACAAAGGTAGATCTCAGGTCCCTTATGGCGAACCGAAACCGTTGCCGATTCCTCGGGCACAGCGCCTCTCCATTGCTATGGATGTTATATGCCCTTTCCCCCGCGATCGCCTTGGTCATGACGACATCCTCATGGTCGTTGACCATTTGAGCAAGTACGCTCGTTTTCTTCCATGTGTAATGACCCGTCAAAACACAGACGGAGAACACTGCTGATTTCTGAAGTTATGGAATGGATGCCTTGCTCAGATTCTCGCATTCTGCTGTGTTTTCTAAGTCTGTTTGTGTGTGCGTGCTGGTGACCTGTGTGCCTGTCTGAGTGCTTGTCGGTATGAGTGTATGTGTGACCCGCAAGGGTACTTGCTTGTTTGGCAGGCCCGTAGGGCCGGTACTTATCTGTGGCCGTGGCATTGAGGGTTGCAGCAGGGAAAAACACTCAAGTAGCGGGGCCAGGGGCCCGCGGTACTTAGAGCAGCGGAGAAACACTCAAGTAGCAGGTAGGCCGGTACCGCACTCAGTAGCGGTAGATGTGCCGGGTACTCGAGGCCGAGCAGAAAAAGACAAAGTTGGCATTTTTAGAGGCCTAGTAGCGGTAGGCCAGGTCTAGGCCGGTACCAGTCCATTCAGCCTAAGTCTAGAGCCTGTACGGGCAATATCAGAGTCTGCAATGATGTTTCCCTCCGAAAGGGAGGAGGTACCGGTTGCTTGGGAGGCCGAGCGGCCTGGAAGTCACCGCCCAGGAGGCAAGCAGGCCACTATATATCAAGAGGCGGAGGCCGAGGCCAGAGCTCGGCCTCATTCTTCAGTGTGCAAGTTTGGTGATACGTTGCTGGAGCGCTGGCTGGAGTGGCGCTGGGTACTACAGCGCTGTTGGGAGGAAGAAGCCGGGAGCGTCCACGTTGGCTATGGTGGAGCTCTACCGGTAGAAGGAGGAGGGAGAAGGGGACCAAGGAGGAGAGTGGTGAGGTACTTACCTGGCTATGATAGGCACCATCTTCATCACCTTGCTAGGCGCTGCATCAGGAAGGCCCCAGTGGGGGTAGTGCCGCATCAAGGAAACTCGGGACAGAGTCAGGCATGGCGGTTGAGTGGGCAGCGGCATAGCTGCATGGTGTTGACCTTGAAGTGGGGCAGCGACATAGCTGCTTTGGGTTATCCTTTGGACAGGAGGCTGAAGCCTCAGTAGTCTGCCATAGCCTCGGCCTGTATGTAGAGGAAGAGGAAGGGTGACCATGGCTATGGTGGACCTCATATTGTGCCTGCAGTAGAAGTGGGATTCGAACACTGATTCTGGTTCAGCCATTCAACATTATTATTGTTATTTCTTGTTTGAATAAGAGGGGAGGAGATAAGGAGGAGGAGATTGGGTGGCGAGGGAGAAGAGCCTTGTCATTGGTCTATGCTGGAGTACATCATCTTCTTCTTCTTTCTTACTTCTTCTTCTTCTTCTTTCCCTCTCTCTCCTCTCGAGTCCATTCATTTCTCTTTGCAATTGAACGACATTGTACTTTCTGATGTTTGTATACTTCGAAATTGGCCAGGATCGTAACATTGGTATCAAAGCGGATTCTACTTGCTGGCGAGAGTTGACTTTGCTGCCATAACCCTAACCCTTGTGGTATGGGCTAACCACTTAGGGTTAGGGCTGGAAGTTAGGGTAAAGGGAAGCTGCTCCCACCTGGCAGGGCCGTGTAGGGTCGACACTAGACCCGGCCAGGTTGCTTGAGTGCATGTTTGTGGTGGCGAGACACAATGTGGGACTTCGTGATGCAATTTGAGAGAGGCGACAGTGAAGGGCACCTACAACTTGAATTTGGACTTCAAGGAAGACAAGGAGTGACTTTAGGACTCCCCTCAAGTCAGGCGAGCTTGAGGGCGGTGGCCATATATGCACCTACGGACTGCAAGTTGCTGCTTTGATCTTCAACATCGACGGGGGATCCGGCTTTGTACTTTGGGGTAGATGTTGACCCTCCTAGATGATAGGACACTAGTGTAGAGGGTGCTAATTGGGTCAGGAGGACTATGTGAGATGGGGGTGAGTTCTTTTCATCTCAAGTGCCCGCCCACTCAGGTAAGTGTCGTGCCACCAGGGTGCCCATGGAATTGACTGCCTGTTGGGGTATTATGGGCTCTCCTTCCATCCTCCATAGTCTTGATCTTGCATGAAGTGCGTGAACTGCTTACTCGCCGGATGAGTGAATGGATGGAGTATCTTGTGTGCCATGCTATATTTTTCTACAGTGCTTTATCTATTTCATTCTGAACGGTTGTAGTCTGTAGGTTCTTTCTGGGGCAAAAAAATTGTTTTTCAATTCGGTAGGGACATAATAGGTCTTTGTGGAACTCTTGTTGGTTGGGACCCGGTTCTGACTCCACTGGGACCGTTTGGGACTCAGTGGGACCAGGCCCAAACAAGAAGGGCCCCTCAGGCCAAATCTATTGATGTCAGTTACCTTGCTCTATCTAATTGGGACTCGGACTTTATGCTTTCGGACTCAGACACTCGCTGTGGAGGGGATCTCCACAGAGACGTTTTATCGGACTTTACTACACGATCCGCCGCCTGACTCGCACCTTGGGCACCACTCAATTCTCTCTTGCATTACGCTGTACACTTTGAATCTGATTTGCTGTGTCTTCACGGAGCCGAGTCCGGCTAGGCTTTAGAGGACCTTATACGTAGTCGGTCCAGACTGTATGGCTGGATCACATCTCTCTTATGTTTATTTC